TCAGAGTACACCTACAACAAAGAAAACATTCTGAGTTAGTGTATTAATTTTGTTTTCTGCCTCAGTTGTGTTTGCAGTCGGTGGAAACAGACAGGATTATTAGACACAAAACGGTAGATGCGAGCTGAGGCTTAGCGAGTGACTATGGCTTTGAACACTAGCATAAGGACAGTCACATGCTATCTCCAGTCAGGGGTATGTTGGCACAGGCTTGTTGCTGGTTGTTGAGAATATTTGGATGACTTCAGCACATACACACACACTCGGGCAGGCACATATACATGCACAGTCATGGGGTTCACACATACTTGCTTGTACCAGTTGCAGAATTTTGCAGATATTATTTATAATTGAACATTTATTTGTTAAAAAAGGTGTGTGAGGTGTTTGGGTGTTGTGGATGCTTAAGTATCTTGCAAAGCAAATTCAGAGGAAATGCTATTTCCAGATCCCGGCAGGAAATTACACCCACAGTTTCAGTGCAGCAACCAGGCACACAGGCACAGCACACACATACGACACACCGACAGTGGATATTTTCATACACACACACACACACACACACACACACACACACACACACACACACACATTACAGCACACAGGCTCTCAGCATCAGTGCCCTGACCATAGGGAGTTTGTGCTGAGCTGGTTGGGACGTCAGGATGAATCAATGCGAGGACAGCTGACTGGACATGCCTATTCATCTGCCAAAGAAAAGAGAGAGAAAAAGGGAGCGAGGGATTCTAAAAGAAGTGAGTTAAGCCCCTGGAGCAACATGTTTGGCTATCTGCATTACTTAACAGATCCTCCAAAGGGCTTTCAGTAGTTATGGGATGAAAGCAGAAGAGGTTGAGAAGATACAGAAAAGGGAGAAAAAAGGAGTAAACTGGAGGGCTCAAATTATTTTATAAGATTGATTTTTGGTAGAAATGCAGTGAACAAATTCCTTGTTTAGCACAAATACTGTATAACTGCATTTTCTTGTGTGATTTAGCAAAAACAGGAGATGCAAATATATAGCACACACTAAGCACGTAGGCTGCTTTAACAAAGGCGTAAGCTCATACTGTAGAGGCGGCTCACTCTATACTGATGGCCCGTTTATTCCCATCTGTTGCCCTCAGCTCTCTGACTTTATCCCCATTGTGTTAACTCATTACATTCGCCTTAACCTTAACCCCTTAATTGCCACCCTCCAGTTTTCCTTGCACATCCTCCCCCTCTTGGAGACAGTGTGCCACGTTGCCCGTGCACTAATCTGATGGCGTCTGCCTACCAAACACCTGCCGTGTGCGGAAAAACCTCCTAAACTCCTCCCATATTCCACATACAACACCCATTCCAGCGTGAGCGGATCAGCACACATGACCACGAGCAGGCAGGCGTGCATGGAGACAGATGCGACAGTGGATGCAGATACAGATAATTAGACAGTCTCAAACCCTGAAAATCACGACCACAGTCGCCATCTCTTTTTCTAGCCTTCGTGTGTTACGTGCACCTAGGTTTTCCCCACACTCAAAGACTGACAAGACAAACAAGAGTCGCCTTTTGTCCTGCCTTTTTGCCCAGACATGTATTCGAAGACAGTGACATGTAGGCCCAGGCCTCTTTGCTTTAACAATAACACTCTCGACCCCCCAATGAGGGGTAGAGGGCCAGACATGAGGCGATGTGACAGTTCTGGTGCGGCCAACACAATAGCAGGTTTTTCTTTTGACTGCCTGGCTGGCTATACGCCACTGAGTACTTTCTTTTACTATTAATAATCCAACAAATAGTCATGTTTGCCTGAGGAACATGTTTAACCACATCAGACCCTGCTTGTGTCGTGCTATTTTTCATGTAGAGTACAACAACTGTTTGTCCTGTTCCTAGACAGTTTGCTCTGGGTTTCATCAGATGTCTTAGATATATAGAAGATATGATTAGAAATTAAAAGTTAACACAAATTATCACGAGCAGCAGAGATTAAGTAAGAATTCTCCCATTATTTAAAGAGTAATATTTAGAAATGTACCTTGGTACCTTTACCCACACTTTTGTGCCAGTACTTACCCTGGAATCAGGGCTGTGTTTGTGCCTGTATGTGAGCTTCTAAAATGAAGTTTGTTGATAATGGATTATTGATCGCGAGTTAGACCGGACTGCCCCCTCAGGGCTCATCCTGGTTGGCCAGGAATGAATACATCTCTTCATGCTCCACCTCACACACTCAATTTCGGCATAGGAAACCAAAGGACCAACACACGCATGTTGAGACACTGACCCGCGCTCTAATACGTAGAGACAGGCGTCGCTCATCCACTGAGAGACAAAGGTTATTCTAAAATCTGTGCAAAGCAAATTGCCTCAGCGGGCTCCCTCTCTTAGGACATGGTTTGTGTTTTTTTTTATTTTTTTTTTACACATACTGAGTGAAACTACCTCACATGCAAGCAACTTCTGCTTTCATTGTGAGTGTAATCATAGTGAAACCAGTCTCTGCATCTCGAGTTCTGGGTACCCACCTAAAAACAAAAAGAGAACAAAAAGGAAATGGGATTTTGTTTGAAACACAAAAAGTCTATCAATGTCCTAGCAGTTCACTGATGTGGAAGAACAAAAGATTGTGTTTTACGTAATACTGTCACCATTTAATAATCATCATGCACAGTGTACAGATGTTATCTAGAGAACTATTACTGGAATCACTGTATTACATATTGTAAATCTTTATTTCTTTAAGTATTCTAAGTTTGTAAGGCAAAAAGACAACAAAATCACTGGTCATCACTTATATGTTCAGTTTTAAGCCGTACTGATTAATATCTCTTACTGCTCTAAATTCTAAAGTTGACTTTAAAGGTCCAGTGTGTAGGATTTAGGGGGATATTGGCAGAAGTGGAACATAATAAGTATGTTTTCTTTAGTGTATAATCACATGAAAATAAGAATTTACATGTTTTTGTTACCTTCAAATTAGTCGTTTATATCCACATAAGGCCCGTTTCCACTGAAGAAGTTCCTGGTACTATTTGGGGGGCAGGAACTACTACAGGAACGTCCTCTCGCTCGGCCCTCTCAACCGCCGTGTCTCCACTGAGAGAGCGGAGTACGAGGAAGGTTCCTGTAAAGTTACGGGCTCTGGATGTGACGTAATCGTTGCGCGACCATTTTGACCGGGGCGACGTAGGGACGCCGTTAGCTGTTAGCTGATAGCGGTGTCTGTACTAACTCACTAAATGGCCCGTGAAAAAATTATTTTTTCCAGCGGATGTCTTAGTTACAACATGATTGAGCTAACTGGAGTAGTTTCATGTTGTATCCGACAACGGGAGGCTTTTAACAGATGACGTCCTGATGTTAGCTTTGCTGCTGCTGCGGCCACTGATGCTTTCTAGACATCGTGATTTCCCAAAACTGAATAAATACCACACATAAACACAAAACTGCTTTGCTAGCTCAATCATGTTGTAACTAAGATATCCGCTGGAAAGAATATTTTTTTCATGGGCCATTTAGTGAGTTTTTTTTACATGGTGGCAGAAGCTATATGAACGAGCTAACCCTCGTCTGCTGAGTTTTAAAAATGCCGGCTATTTTGTTGCTTTCTGTTGTCGTCACATCCCTCCTTGAGTATATCCAATCAGCACCAAGTAATCCCCAAGCCCCAGCCAGGAGTCTTTTGGGGCCGTTCTGAGTACCTACTCCGAGGCAGGGACTTGTTTAGCCCCTGTAAAAGTTCTGGAACTCTGTCCTTCGGGGGTGGTTCCTGCGGTAGAGACACGCACCAACAGTCCCGGCCCCGTAAAATTACCCCGAAGTTCCTGCGGTGGAAACGGGCCTATAGGGAGCAGGTCTTCATTTAGAGTACACCATGTTTCTACAGTAGCCCAGAACGGACAAACCAAACAGTGGCTCTAGATAAGGCCATTCACGTTTTCACATTAGCCACTGTAGTGAGCAACCCCTCCATGACGAGCCAAAAACTGATTTTTAACATGAAATTGCTTTATTCAGTTTTTTTAAGTGGTTTTTATCACCTGATCTGTTTGTTTTGGAGTGGAAGAGACCTCTGTGGATAATTTGGCTCCTGATAAAAAAAACCTCCTGAACAATGACCACTGAAACCATCCTTATCAGGAGTTCGCACTTTGCATGCTGGAGAAGTTTCAGCTGGTTACAATGTGCAATTACAACTGCAAGGTGCCACTAAATTTACACACTGCTCCTTTAAGGTTTATAGGCTTGACAGCCTGAAAGCACCACATGTTTCATACCCTTTTTATTGTAGTGTCTCTCAGTCACAGGGCTATGAGACATTAGCTGCTCTTGTTCTCAGTTTATTTGCAAACTGAACTCAGGCTGCTGAAGCCAAACAGCAAAAACCACAATCCAACTTTACTGCCTGCTCTCTGCTTTAGCATTGGCTTCCTTTCACACTCGCTTCAAGGCTAACTCCCTCACCCCAAACCAGCAGAAAAACAACATCCTCACTAACTCCCTGCCAGTCACAGGAACGCTATGGCACACAACCACTGTCACATAGCTGGAGTGACTGACAGGCTTCACGGCTTCAAACATAATAACATGTTTATTGACATCCTGGAAATCTCTTCGCTGCAACAACAGTCCTTTTTATCTGTTTGTTTTAACACAGTGACGCTCATGTCATAGCAGTCACCTGCTAACATGTTACCCTGTCTGTAACAATATGTATCATAACTGTGCAAGTATCCAAAACAGTTTGGCGGTCTTTGCATAGCTCCTGGTTTTACGGGTATTAGTAAATTCTTGAAAATTATTGTTCCAATCATCCATCATTTTTTTCTATTTATTTCTGTTCTGAGAAAGGAGTAATATTTTTGGCTCCTTTTCGGTCATGGAATGTGTATTGGAGTTGTTTTGATTGTAAAGCTGATTGTTGTTCATTAGAGGAGCAACTAAAAATGAAATTAAATATTAAGTGCATTCATCTCAAGCCTAATTTTAATTTCTTTTTCTGTTTTTTTCAGGTATTCTTGTGAAAACAGTAGGCAACTGGATAAAGAACATCTCTTCAAAAATCAGGATGGACACTAAAACTGTCACGTTTTGCAAATTTTTGATGCCTATTCTGAGAACTCGCTAACTTTTGGGAGATAAACTGTTATAGTAAGAAGATTTTATCACACAGCTTTGGTTTTTGACGTGCCGGCGTTTCAGGAAACGTAATGGAGACAGAGGAGAAGGATGATGTGTCACAAAAACCCACAGCTAAAAAAAAGGCAGAGCCAAAGGAAGATGTGAATTCTGGCCACATCTGTGGGGTGTGTGGCCGCAGCTTTCCTCTTCTCAGCTCTCTGTCACAGCACATGAGAAGACACACACGGGAGAAGCCGTACAAGTGTCCGTACTGTGAGCACAGGACGGCTCAGAAGGGCAGTCTGAAGGCTCACATTCGAAGCCATAAACTGGGTCTATTCAGCCATAACCTCAGTGACAAGGAGGGGAATGGAAATCAAGAGCAGAAAGATAACGCAGAGACACCTGACCCTCCGGAAATCGTCAACACATCTGACAAAGCTCATAGTGTCAACGGGAAAGTGAAGAAGAAAGGAAACAAGAAAAAAGTAAAGGGTAAAGACTCTGAGGTCGGTGACGGAGCTGATGATGGGCCCTGTACCTGCAGCATCTGTGGCCAGGTTTTCCCTCAGGTACTACGCCTTAAGTCCCACATGAAAAAGCACCGAAGCCCCCAGGATCACGGTTGCCGGATTTGTGGACGTCGTTTCCGCCAGGCATGGTTCCTCCAAAGTCATATGCGGATTCACAGGGTGAAAGCCCAGCTAAGAGGTGGCAAAAGCAATGAGCCGCCTGCCACAATCAATGGAGTTCCTCAGGACCCAACATCGCTGACAAATGAAGAGTGCCTCTATGAGCTCTGTGCCGGCTGTGGTAACTTCTTCTATGACCGTAAGGCATTGCGAATGCATGAAAAGCTACACAAACCGAACCACAGCCGCACTCAGACACAAAATCCACCACAGGAAGACACTGGCACCTCGCAGTTGGACATTACTAAGAGGTGTTTTTTGGAAAGCCTGAACCTCACATGTGCTGGACCGAGGGAGGCTTCTGAGGAAAATCGCCTGGGCAGGCGAATCTCAGAGCTGGATCCAGTTTGTAGTTACCAAGCCTGGCAGTTGGCCACAAGGGGACGACTAGTGGAGGCCGCAGAGAAATGTCTGGGATGGGAGGAGAGGCTGGCAGATGCCGAGGTAGCATATGACACAGAGAAGGGCGAGTATGTACCCCTGAAGCAGGAGAAGAAGAGGAAGCAAATCGACACCTCCAGCTCCAACATTAAGAAGATGAAGGGTGATACAAGCCTCGATCACACATCCAACAGCTTGGCTCACACTAAAGGTGGTGACAAGAGGATTTCCCAGAAAGACCGTATTCTGTTGAACGGACTTGGTCATGCGTTTTATGAGGCGCTGCAGATTAAGAAAGTCAAAGATGTCCGCCTGACACCTAAACAGACCAACAGCACCAGGGGCCCAGACCAGGAGGGTAAGCCACACACACCACTCCACACTACAATATATGTGCTATCTTGCTTTCCATGAAAATGGGAATCAGTTCGCAGGCATAGCTTTTTAAATTATCCAAGGTTATGTTTTGGACATGCAAGTGTGCCTCAGTGGACTTCAATACAGAAAGATCAAGTCTCTCTGTGATATTGCTGTGAGGCAAGTCAAAATTACCAGGCCACCAATGTGGAAAAGGGAGACCTCTAGTGAATATATAACTGAATTACAGCAACTGTTAATGCATTTCTTAATACAAAAATGTCTTTTTTAATGCTCACTCATTAAGGCACCTTAGCTTCAGAAGATTTTTAAGGGATTAATAAAGTTTAATTCCAAAATTATTTAATAAGCTAAAGTAACATTTTGTTGGCTTTATAATTTATTAATTCATAACAATATAATGTAACTGTTATGTTAGCCTCAGCTGTACTGAGAGAGCAAGAGCCTTTTTTAGAAGAAAATTTTATCTTGAAAACTAGAAATCACTGTCATTGAAACTGTTAAAGAACACTGTTGTGGTTGTGGAGAATAAAAGTCGCATGTTATACTTAGCCTATTGCTGAATAAAAACTTGAAATCTTGCTTTGTTCAACAAGATTTAATGCTGCTGCTTGGAAGTTGGGTACCCAAGCGGTTTGTCTACTCTATCCACAAATTTGTGTTTAAGATGATGGAATGATTAAGATAACAACAGCTTCAGATTTTTTTATTATCATTGTTGTTTGATTACTGCCCTTTAAGAAAATTCATGGTAAGTACTGTCCAGTATCAACTAAAGTTAGCAACAGCCTTCCAGATTCAGCGTGCAATGTGGGGTTTTGTTGCTATTCCCTTGTTGACGGAGTTGGTGTGCAGGCAAACCCAGAGATGCTACTGGCACCTTGTCCTCATCCACAGTGATACAGACACTTGAGCATGCATTTCAAAGACATTTGATATAGTTTTCACATGTTTACGTAAGTATTAGCCATACTATCATTTTAATGTGTGTGCCAATAGAAAGTGTATAGTGCTGCTAATTTTGTTTGTTATTTTCAAATGTGTGTATCAATACTTTTTAACATTTTCAGCACATTTATAACAATACCATGGTAGTACTAATAACTGTAATTATGGGCCCGAGCCCAATTTAAACCCGGATGACGGAAGGATGACGCAGTTATTCGGCAATTAAACCACCGTTTATTATTGAACTGTACAGGTTACTGTTGGCCGTAACCACGCCAAAACAACCAACAAACAACAACTTAGCTATAACTCCATCTGTGCACTCCTGCTCTCTCCTCCAGCTCGCTCATACACACACCAGCACGCGCACTCACACAGCCCTCCTCATCCCCGTCACACTCGCACCCCGCACCTCATTCAAGCCCAAACATGCCATTAACTCACAGAACATTGACATTACAACAGAACATTTACTGCAGGGTCGCTACAATACATAGCCTATAACATTATCAAATCATAGCTTTAAAAAAAAACAACGTCATAGCTGACCGGGCCCGGCCTGGGCCCGTCAGAAGGAGGGGGGCTCCCGGCCCGACCCGGCTTGGGCCCGCGGGCTGGGTCAGGCTCGGGCTTGGGCAGAGAATCTAAGCTCTACTGGGGACACACCCTATTGTTTCCCTGATAATGCTAAGTCGTAAACAACAAATCCATGTTGAAATTGGCAGGAGAAGAGGAGAGGTAGTTAGCATTAGCCTGAACTAACCACTAACAGAACTTACAGATTAAGTAAAAATGAGTATTGGGCAAAGATAAACAATTCTCATGATGTGTTCAAATGTTTTTGCAAAATTTAGTTTTGGGCAAGAAACTTCAATAAATGCAGTTATTTGAAGGAGATTTGTTGATGTTTTCACAGCATTATAAAAATGCATATTAGAGAGGGAATCATATTATCATAATCATATATATATAATGGAGATTTCTTTGTTTCCATGGCACTAAAGGGGAAATAAATAACAACATTGGTTATTGGCTTAATTGTTATTTTAAACATCAGTGTTGGTTTAAGACCAGAGTTTCCTGCATTGCTGCATCCCTGTCTATGTGACATACGTATACTGACACAACACTCATGTTCCACACGTCTTTACACTGCTTCCTCTGCTCTCATCTACAGATAAAAAGACGTACTTCTGTGAGCACTGTGATTTCCACACTGTCGATGCCTCACTACTCAGGTCACACCTGCACAGGCAGCACCAGGACTTCCTGAGTCCCTACAGCAAACACAGCACTGTGTTGAACAACATTAACCAGAGTGGTTCCAAAGCCTCAAGATACATGGACTACCTCAGAAACAGGAGTGCGCTGCTCAGTCAGCCATACTGGAATCCTTACACGTGTCCGCTCGGCCAGGGGTCAGCAGAGTCCTGCATTAAAACAGAAAAGCCAAATGGTGCTGAGATCAAAGGACAAGGACATACTACTAATGATGCTGGAAGTCTCCTTAATTTGTCTTCATTACCCATAAATGAAGGAGACGGCACTGTAAATGAGCCCATAAAGACAGAGGGCCTGGTGAGACATCAGTGCCCATACTGCTCCCACACCACTAACTATCCAGAAGTACTGTGGATCCATCAGCGAGTTGCACACAGGGTGGACAGCAGCAGTTCCATGGCACCCAAGTGGGCACCCTGCACCAACAGCCTCAAGAGTTTAAAGGCAGGTGCTACCCAGTGGCGACGCACAGGGCCTCCACCATTCCTCGAGGGCAAGGACTGCCCTGCTTTACCTGCTCCAAGAACTCAGCGCACACAGCCTCCAGGTTTGACAACCCACAGCAGCAGCAGCAGCAGCAGCGGCAACAAGCACTCAGCCCCCAAGAGCCAATCAGGCACCCCAAAGTCCAAGCATCCGGCTAAGGACTCACGCTCCTCAGATGGGACACAGTCTAGTGGGAGGATGGGACTCCTACCTCAGAAGAAGTCTGGTGAGCATAACCGGGCAGAGAAAGCAGGAAGTAAAAGCTCCAGCACCCAAGCTACTTCATCAAGCAGTATTGTGCACAACAAGAGTGCCCCGAGTTTCCAGCCTACAAGCAGCCCGAAACACAGAGGCCACAGAGCTGCGGTGGAAGGAAACTTCCCACAGGAGGGTTTGGGTTTCATGTTGGCCAGAAATCATGGCGGGACTTCATCTAACGCTTCTGCAGATAGACCCCATTCCCGCAGGCACTCATGTGACTCCTCCTCAGGTCCCAAGGGTCCTGATCTGTGGGCTGCCATGAACATGTGGGGTCACAAAGCATATTTAGAACCCCTCCGCTATGCTCAGGTAAAGAATGACTCAACAGGAGAAATGCCAATGGACACTGATATTTTGAGTCTCCTAAAAAACTACACTCCCCTCGATCTGGCTGCTCATTACCAGCAATGGAGGTTCGTTGATCCGAGGATTGATCCACAAGGTGGGAAGGAGCTTTGTTTTGTGTTTGATTTACTCTACATGAGCAGATGAATAACTGAATATTTATATTTCAATTTGCTAATAATAGTGTCTGCTTGACTTCCCAGTATGAGTGATGTCTAATGTTACATTGTTTTACACTGGAGGATAAGTGATAGTCAGCAGGGGGCCTTCATTGTAAAACTTCTTGACTGAGACATGACCATGAAATTTATATTTACACATCTGATTTTATATTTCTACTTTTACAGCAATGTTGCAGTTAATTGGAAATTTTGGAAAAGAAGTCCACTCCACCTCTGAAGCTTCCAAACAAGTATGTTGTCTTTGCAGCAGCAACTGATATTGTTGTTTTAATAGATATTGTCTCCTAGTCTTCAGCCTATAGACAAGTGATTGAACTGACTTGAATTAATTAAAGGCCAAATTCAGAATTTTATTTTATTTTTTTTAAACCGCTTATCCTTTTGAGGGGCGCGGGGGGGCTGGAGCCTATCCCAGCTGACACTGGGCAAGAGGCAGGGTACACCCTGGACAGGTCACCAGACTATCACAGGGCTGAGACATAGAGACAGACAATCATTCATGCTCACATTCACATCTACGGACAATTTAGAGTCACCAATTAACCTGCATGTCTTTGGACTGTGGGAGGAAGCTGGAGTACCCGGAGAAAAAACCCACACTGACACAGGGAGAACATGCAAACTCCACACAGAAGGGCTCCCCCAACCCAGGGTTCAAACCGGGAACCCTCCTGCTGTGAGGCAACAGTACATTTTTAACATGTAGTTGAAAAATCTGTTTAAGTTTCTAAAGTAATCATAATGGAAAATAAGTCTGTTTCACTGCTGTCAGCATTTTCTGCAGTGTTAATCACTGTGTGTGAGTAAAGACTACCTTCACTAACAACATAAAGATACACTTTAAAGGTCCAGTGTGTAGGATTTAGGGGCATCTATTGGCAGAAATAAGACCATTCACATTTCTGTATGGTTGCATCGGCCACTGTTGTTCTCCTACATGCTTTGCACAGTTGGTAGCACCCTGCAGTGATACCACTAAGCCCACTAAATCTTACACACTGGACCTTTGAATGAAATGATGCAGAAAAGGCACAACCTGGTGCATACAAATTCACCAGAATGCAGGAAATTAAAAGTTTGACTCAAAATTCAAGTGCCCCATCCCTTTTCTAATTCTAAAACAAAACCTACGCTCTTGAGTGTGGCTGCTGTTTAGACTGTCATCTCCTAAAATTAAGTAAATAAATTGATAAGGAAATGAGATGGGTCTGGATCTGATGGTACACCACCTCTGCTAAACAACTTACAGGAGACATCCTGTACTGTGTATAGAAACATCACTCATATAAACAAACCTTTATCCCCAAAGTATTATGTCTTACATTTTGTCATCTATTGTATGTCCATGTACTAAAGGAAATGCCAGTCAGGTGGTGGTGGGACAATGCTTTTGTTTACATTGGAGATTTTGCCGTAATTACAGTGAACCTGAAATGCACGACTCTGAAGTCAGCGAACTGCAAACCTGAACCTTCAATTTCACTTTCTAAAATTAAGAACAGCATAAAAGTCCTTCTATCCCTCACCAGTATGTACAGTGTGTCTTCACCAACTGTGTGTTCCTGTTCTCGTGTCTGTAGCTTGTCTGCGTCTGAATACAGTCTGTCACTTCTGTGCACACGTGCATCTGCGTGTTTTCATGCGTTTGCATGCACGGCTGTCAACTTCCACAACCTGGCTGTCTCTTCCTTCTCGTTTCCGTAAGAGAGGCTGACAGGGATGAGGCAAACAAATAATAAAAAAACATTGTTGTCCCCCTCAGGGTAAAACTCGCCCAGCATCTCCATATGGTGTGTCATCATCCTGTCAGTCAGACCTACCCTGATGCTACCTACAACTGCTCTGGCTTTCTCCTCTTTTCCCCTGAAGTAATATGTGGGCAACTTTTTAAACACTAAAGATGGGCAATAGCTCACTCTGTAGGGGTGAGGAATCAGCCATCAGATTATGTAACAGGAATAACACTCTGTGGGGGCAGTTTGAACATATTTTGTGCTATAATACAAATTATGAGAGATTGTTTTATGTTCTTTGTGTCTTCTTTAAACTTTAAACTGTCTTTAAACTTTAATTTTTAGGAAGTCAACAGCTTCATTCCATCCATAATATGCATATATTTCACTACATGAAGCCTCTTTATGTGCACCTCATAGGTCAACTTACACAGAGGCCACTGCCTAAAATATCACAGCATAGTGTTACTATGCTGAACATATGAACATATCATATCATCAAGACATTCACTTACCACTCAAGTGTAGAAGTACTAACACATATTGTATACCCAAAAAAGTTGGGTATATTTATACAGTATTTTATGAAGGATATCAACGCTAAACGGACAAAGAGATGCATTTAAATTTATGGCTACTGTAAAAAAAATATTTGTGTCCATATCTAATCAGTAAACAGCTCACCATGTTTTTAGATTTTTGGTTTTATATAATTCATTTGATTCCCAATCACCTTCACCTTTAATAATATGGACTTCAAAATGGTTTCAGAATGCAATATAATGGAATTTTAAACAGGCGATTAATCACCATTAACTATTGGCATTTAGCAATTAATTGCGATTTTTAGAAATAAATCGTTTGAAAGATCTGTGGGAGTTTGCATGTTCTCCTCGTGTCAGCGTGGGTTTTCTCTGGGTACTCCAGCTTCCTCCCACAACCCTAAAATTTAAATTGCCTGTAGGTGTGAATGTGAGTGTGAATGGTTGTCTGTGTCTATGTGTCAGCCCTGTGATAGTGTGGTGACCTGTCCAGGGTGTACTCCGCCCATCATCTGGGATAGGCTCCAGCCCCAGCGACCCCTAACAGGATAAGCGGTTACGGAAAATTAATGAATGGTTAACTAAATTTCCAATTACAAATTCCAGGTCAAATTGATACCTCCTGTTGAAATATACTTGTAGTCACTGTATGATAACTGAGTGGTTGTTATGAACAAAAAAAACTATTATAAATTGATTTTTCAAGTAATTATGGCAAGAAATGTGAATATTTCAGATTGTGATTTTAGATAGCATTGTTGCCTTTTAAGCGTGTATGATTTGGAACATTCAAATATTTGGTTATGGACTATCGGCTCATTGATTGATAGTATAACAGTGTTCATATATACATGCATACACGTTCCCTCTCAGTGTTGTGACATAAAATGTAACTGATGTGCCTCCCGTTTGTTTCCTACAGGTGAACAGCCACTCCACTTCCTCCTCAGGGTCTCTCCATGAAGGAACGTGAAGATACACTGTGTTCCTGCTGGCTTCCAGCCAGCACGACACTGCTGAACAAATCGGCCTGCTGTTCTTTAAAGGAACCAGCCATAACTCCTAAAAGACAGAGGCACTGGATAATGCACAATACATGCAAAGCAACAAGGAGGACTGTTATTATTTTGTAATATGGTTGTTTAATTTGAAGTGTTACGCATGCTTTTGTTTGTGTAGATGTTAATTACCATAACACACACGGAGATATTGTTCTATGGAAATGAGGTATGAACTGTTGTAGTTTATTGTGAACACAAACACTTAGGGGGGAAACGAAATGTGAAGCTACGTTTGCAAAAGGATAAAGAGGACATATTGGCTAAAGGCCCACAGATATCTGCTGGGTTTGAGTGAAAACATTTAAAAAACATCAAATGTTAAAAATCAGGATGCCACGAGAAATGTTCTGAAGTACTTCAAAAGCTGTAAAGTCTGACCTGAAGATTATACATCACTTTTACCTCTCTCTATGTAGGTGTCAGTTTGTTGTTTTTTTATGGAGCCTACGAGCTTGTAAATCATCCTTTTTTGGTTTTTGGTTTAGAGTTAGCATTTGATTGTCTCAACATTCAGAATGTGCAGCAGGGCACTGGAATATAAATTGCAGCTCATTGTCACCGTTCAGGTTAATGTCCACATTCACATAATTATTCAAATCTGGATATGAAAGTTGACACTTGTCATCCATCACCACGCTATGACAAGTATAATGCTGGTAAAATCTTAAGTGTCAAAGTCAAGCAAAGGTTGACATTCACAGTTTTAACTAAAACTTAACAAAGTCATGATCTCACTGTGAGGCACTATGGGGTGGTTTAATTACAGCTAAATCGGGATTTAGCAGTATAAGCTCATAACCCCACGCATATAAAAGGGATAGTACAGATTTTTTTGAAGTGGGGTTGTAAGAGGTACTTTTCTATAGTCAGTGTATTACCTACAGTAGATGACGGTTGGCATGCCCTCACTTTGGAGAAGCAGACAGGAGTCCCACCTCAGGAGTTAAGCAATGCACTGCTGTGGACATGGGCAGCAGCAAAATTTATTTTAGCCACCCCCAAAAAAATATCACTTTGCCTGGAGACAGCTCTTTTCAACTGTGAAGCTGGTGTCTATGCTCTCTTCAAAGCCACCAGACTCCTTTGACAAAAACAGTAAGTTTACCACACAGTACAGGAGTTGCTGGTCTACTGCTGCCTTGAATGGTTAGTTTATGTCAGTGTGTGAATCTGGTGTTTTTGTGTTATTGTGTGAGGTGTTTTAAAGGGCTAGTTCGGATTCACCAAAGTCACACAGTAACAGAAACAAACTAGCTGATCGAGGCAGTGGTAGACCAGCAACTCCTGCTTTCTGTGAGGTAGAATTACTGGTTTTGTCAATGATGTCTAGTGGCTTAATAATAATTGCTTCAGTTTCCTGTCAAAAATGTCTGACAGCAAGAAAAAGCAGTCAAGATATTCTAAAAATAGCGTACACTTAAGCTGATATTGATATGTTGTAGATTGCTGAATATGTTTTGCTCATGCCCCCATAATATTCAGGTAATACTCCAACTATGGATAAGTACCTCATACAACCCCACTTCAAAAATTCTTTAGTATCCCTTTAAGAGAAACAGGATGCACTGGTATGACTTCAACTCAAATAGCTGGAAAAAAATTCTCATAACATTACGTTTGCAACGTTTTTACAAGCTTTTTGTACAAATACTACAAAACCTTTCCACACTTTTGACATAGCATGATCATACCCAAAGCAACTTTCTTTATATGTTAATTCACTCTGGGTCAGTGTATATCCAAATACACCCACATTGATTAGTGCTGAAGGGGTTCTCCAGTATATCAACCATCTTCTGCTACAATCTGTAGTGCCAGTGGCCAGGTTAACTAACCACTCACTTCCAGTTTAAAGCCTCAGATTATACTACTTAAAGGAGCAGTGTGTAGGATTTAGTGGCATCTAGCTGTGAGGTTGCAGATTGCAGCCAACTGAACACCGCTCTGCTCACCACAGGGCGAACAAGCAGCAGCCTCCGGGGCTGAAAAATGAAGCCAACGCAGAGGTGCCAAAAATTGCAGTCCCTTGAATGGCCATTTGAGGCGAGCCTCAAAAGCGAATCAATCCTCCCAAACAACCACATAAAAATGCCCAACTTTACGGCACAGATAAAGCTAATTTCCCTGTTCATGACATCTGTAAGGGGGGGTGGATTTTTATATAAGTCACCTGTTTAAATTTGTCCAAATATGGTCACCTCAGGTCATATCTGGTTCCAAAAATCTAAGATGCCGACAGCCAAAATGCCAAACTCAAGGCTTCAAAACGGCATCCACAAACCAATAGCTGACATCACAGTGGCTACATGCATTACCTTAGTACGGTCTATGTGCAAAAGGCCATCTCTAGAGCCAATGCTTGGTTTGTCTGTTCTGGGCTACTGTAGAAACGTGGAGGACTGCGTTAAGGAGGACCCACTCGTGGATATTAAATTCCATTTCTGCCAATAGATCCCTCTAAATCCAACACACTAAACCTTTCATGTAAATCAGCAATAACTATCCTTGTGTTTTTAAGCGGTTACTTACATCCATGGTAAATCCATAACCACTGACAAACCTAAGATCCAGAAGAGACAATCAACTAATGTGAAAAAAAACAAACAGAAATATTGGTGGCCATTATCATAGCCAGTCTGTCAAGCACGTTTGTGTCAAAATGACTGATTAACAACAAAATGTGGTGTCCTGCTTTATGATTAAGTTTGAAATATAAATGCTATAATCTGTCCTTTTATTCTCCGATCAGAAAGATGGTCTAAACATCTGCACTCATTTCACATTGTGCTAGTGACGTAGCAATTTAATGCTGTGATTTTCTTTTTTTTTTAGAAGTAGAAACTGTAGCGATAACTTTTACTGACGTGGCCCTGACCTCCATCTGCCAGTCGTGCTACTGAAGAGGCTGCAAAGTATTTTGTTTTTGACTTTTTGAACTCACCTCATTCTGACATTTGTTTTCATGTGTTTTCTGTTTGCAGATTTGTTTAGTATGTTTATATTTTTTAGTTCTGGGTCAGTGTATTCATCTCCCATAGAGAAGTAGTCTATGCATTTGACAAAAAGCCATCAACTTATGGATTCTTGGGAGATCTTGAGAATACATAATTTATTATTGACCTTGATCTGTGTGGAAAACTGTTTTTTTTTTTGATAAATATTGTAAATGATTGTTTTATTTATTGGTATTTTTTGTTCGCTAAGAGTGTAATTTTAACACTCATAAGTACTTGATATTTGTAGTAACAAGAGAAAATGTTAAAAAAAAAAAAAATTCTTTCAGTGACACACTTGGGATCAGACTGCAGGGTCAGTTGGGAGTGATGCTCCTGCAGGAGGAGTTATTGAGCCTGTGATGCAGCAGCTGTCTGTAATATAAGGACAGCTGAGCAGGTGAGGAGCAACAGGAGACTATGAAACAGTGATTTTTATGCAAGCCTGAACTTTTATGCAAACCTAAAGCTTAAAATTGAGCTGTAACAGGGTTTTTGGTGACAATGTAAACTATGTTTCATAGTAATAATATGTTGGTATCAGAATTTCTATTTTCACCAGTTCCACATTTTGTCTGACTGTTAAAGTACACAAATAAAGTTGGTCAATGTAGATTTAAATTATGATAGTGCTGTTGTCATTATCATGGGAACCACAGTTTGTACTGTATTTAGTTGTTATACTTTACGTCAACTTATTGTTTTAGTGGAATCCAGACAGTTAAAAGCTTTGGTAACACTTGAAGGTATCTACATAAGGGTGACATGACACTGTCATAACTATGACATGACACTGTCATAACTTGTCATAAACATTATGTACATGTCATAAACGTTTATGACTGCTGTCATTAAGTGTCATTAGTTTTTTGGAATGACAAGTTGACATTGTTTGGGTTGTCTTGATAATGACAACTTGACATTAATTAAAGTGACATTACCAGAAGTTGTCTTTGTCATGACAAGTTGATATTTAATTTGTTTGGGATATCCTTATAATGACAACTTGACATTGACATAAAGACATCTTCTGGTAATGTCACTTTGATTAATGCCAAGTTGTCATAATCAAGACAACCCAAACAATATCAACTTGTCATTACAAAAACAGAATGACACTTAATGACAGCAGTCATTAACATTATGACGTATACATAATGTTCATGGCAGGTTCATGACAGTGTCATGTCATAGTTATGACAGTGTCATGTCACTCTTATGTAGATACCCTCAAGTAAAGTGTTACCAAAGCTTTTAATTAAAGAATATTTGGTGATTATACACCAAAATTTTGATGTAGCAAAAACAGTTTGTGTCTGCAGGCTGAGCTGAGTATGCTCATTCCACCTTAAAACAACTTGATGCAGTTTACCACTGTGCTCTCTGTTTCATCATTACAGCAGAAAAATGTATGATGTATGAAAAATTGTACTCATCACTTTGTACTTTATGAAAAACAACAAGAAGATAGATACACACTATCGTTTTTGGGCTTTGATGTCGTAATTGCACATCAGCCACCACAGTGGACATTAGCATGCCATCCCAAACACTGCTACTCACTGGCCAAGCGTCATAAGTGCGACACAAATCTTTCAAAACCAAGATGGCCGAGAGAAAGTCAGAAATGTTGAGCAGCTCAATCCTCCTGTAGAATCTTGCAGGTAAATAAAATTTGGTAACATCAAGTAACAACTGAAGGGAAAACACAATTGTTAAGAGTTCAAAGTGTTGATTGTGTATTGGGAAGGGTTTACAATTAATCATTTGTCCATTAGATTGAACATCATGCATGGCTACATTTCAGATATAATTCACACTATTGCTGCAGCTTTAGACTGAACTGATGCACAGGTCAGTAAAACTAAAGAGACTATACTGCTGAGTTACATCTGACAGAAAGTATTTGGACAGCCATGGACGATATTTTTGGACAAAATGTTCATTGGAAAAATTAACAGTCTGAAAGAAGGAGGTAGGGAGGGGCTGAGGAGACAAGCGTAAGGAGCTGAATGAGAGAGGAAATTAGTTATTTTCATTGCTGATTAATCTATTATTTTCCTCATTAATCAATTAGTTGTCTGGTCTATAAAATGCCAGAAAATGCTTAAATGTCAATCACTGTGTTTCCCAAAGCTACAGATGATGTCCTCAACCAAAAGACATTCAGTTTACTGTCAAAGAGGAGTAAAGCAACCAGAAAATATTCACATTCAAGAAACTGGAATCAGAGAATTTTGTTGTTGTTGTTGTTACATCCTCAAAAAACTGATTAAATGATTATCAAATTAGTTGGCGATTAATTTAATAGTTGGCAGCTAAGTTATTAACCATTGCAGCTTTATTTATCGTGTTAAAATATGTGAACACAGCAGTTTAATGATATACATTATTTTATAGCTCTCACATAATATATTATTTTATTCATTGGTTGAATAAATCCTTGAAAAATGGCTGTTAAAAACAAAAACAAAAAATTTAAAAAAAAGTTTGTTTTTTTTCATGTCTAAAGAGGAATAAAAACAGAAAAAACTCCTGACTGAGGTCGTCATAATTCATGAATAACGGGTCACACTTAGGTTTGGACATTTTAGAGATCTAAGTGATTGTCTCTGTTTCTTTTGCCGTCTTCAGGTCAAAGATTTTGATCTGTGATTATATAAAGGTAATGATAATAATAAACAACAATATCTGGCTTCATCCTCGCTGCAGTTTACAGCCTCTACCAGCAGATGGTGGGCAATGTCAAGAAATACAGGAGCTGCTTTGTTACAAGTTCCTCCCTTCTTGTTTGGTTTGTTTGTTTGATTGATGGCAACGTGACGGCTTCATATGACACTATACTGCATTTCTTCTCATCTTTTTAACCCATTAAAATGTTTGCACTAAAATGTCCTTGATGAGC